CAGTGCCAACGAGGTCGACAGCAGCAGCAGAAGCAACAGAGGGGAGAAGGGGGACAGGGGAACACCCCTCAAAGAAAGGGGCGCGACGGTCGCCGCGAGAAGCACCGACAGCTAAGATACTCTTCTCAGCCGCAGTGAGGCGCTCCTCTAGCAGGTCGACAGTGAGCTCGGTGGGGCAAAGGGAGAGAAAGTGGTCCCTGACTGAAGAAAGGGAGTGAGGGAGGCGGGTGACTAGGTAGTAAAGGGTGATGTACATGGGGGGGGGGGGGGGGTTCTTGGCACAGAACTCAGTGGGAAGCGCAGCGCGGTAGCGGGCGTCACTAGTGCGGAGGTGAGTAATGAGGTCAGCAACTGTGGCAAAGGCGGCAAGGTCAGGGAACAAGTACGGCAACATGAGGCGGCTGAGGGCAGCAGTGGCAGGGGAGGAGTAGCGCGCTACGACAGCGTCGTACAAAGACTTAGCCGTCTTGTACTGGCCAAAATGCGCGCGCTCAGCAGGCGGCAGGTGACTACGAACAGCAAGGCGAGCAACAGCGTCACGAGTGGTCCACTGCGAGCGAACCGTACTGTCAACAGTGGCAGCATGTGCAGTAGAGACACCGGACGAGTGATCAAACAGGGATACCCCATCCCTAGAGTCACACTGAAGAAAGAGCTGCAGGTCGTCAACCCACACGTCAAAGTCAACTGCACGTCCTTTAGCATCAAAGGTGAGAACAGTAGGGCTAGCCATAGCAGCAGTAACAGTAGTAGTAGCAGAAGTAACAGCAGTAGCAGCAGTAGCAGCAGTAGCAGCAGTAGCAGTAGTAGCAGCAGTAGCAGCAGAAGCAACAGTAGCAGCAGGAGCAGCGTAGGCAGGGCAGCGCGGCTCAGTAGGGCGGCGCGGCTCGGCAGGGCGGCGCGGCGCGGCAGGGCGGCGCGGGTGCTTACCAGGGGCGGGGGGGGGCAGGGCAGGGTCGCAGCAGGCGATTTGGTCAGGGCTGCGACTGGGGCGGCAGCAGGGCAGGGCCGCGAAAGGGCGGCTGCAGGGCAGGGCCGCGACAGGGCGGCAGCTGGGTAGGGCCACGACAGGGTAGCAGCAGGGCAGGGCCGCAGTGGGCAGCGAAGGCAGGGCCACGACAGGTGGCGAAGGGTCAGCGACGGGCGGCGACGGGCCGGCGACGGGTGGCGACGAGCCAGGACGGTCAACATTTCGGGCAACATTTCGGACCCTGATTTGGCAGGTGGGACACTATGCCACGTGTCGTTGCACGTCGGTCAACATTTCGGGCCAGTAGTAGTTGTCAAACTTATATGCTACAGTCTATCTAGGCTGTAGTGGGGTAGTTCATATAGGGTACAACACTTTTAGGTTTCCTACTTGTACCCACCTGCTTGCTAGTTCAGTGTTTCATTCGTTCACTATTATGATATGGTATTCTGAGCAGGTTCCCTCGTGGGAAAGTTTTTTTAGGGCCCACCACGAAAATTTTTCCTGCCCTGCCCGAAGCGCGCCTCGCGCCTGCCTCATCTGCGCCGTCGCGCGCCCTGCCTTCGCTGGCCCGACGCGGCCCTGCCTTCGCCGCCCGTCGCAGGCCCGGCCCGGCCCGTCCCGGCCCGTCCCGGCCGGTCGCCGCCGCTATTCGCGGCCCTGCCTTAGCCGCCCACTGCGGTCCTGCCCTGCAGCCGATACCACCCCCAGAGCGTACATGGCAGGGCAGTTGCAGCCGATACCACCCCCAGAGCGTGCTTGGCAGCCGGTGTCGATGGACTTCGTCACGGGGTTACCGGCCGGAGCAAGTGGGAACGACGCGATCCTGGTCGTCGTCGATCGATTGACGAGAATGGCACACTTCGCAGCTTGCAAAATATCAATCACAGCCGAAGAAACGGCCCGCCTCTTCATCGCAACCATTGTTCGATTACACGGGATACCAGCAGCAACCATCAGCGATCGCGATACGAAGTTTACCAGCAATTTCTGGCGGAACCTGTGGCAGCAGTTCGGCACGAGGCTGCAGTTCGGTTCTTCGTACCACCCCGAAACCGACGGACAGACAGAACGGACAAATCAGACCATGGAACAGTTAATCCGAGCCACGTGCGACGACCCCACCACCTGGGAACAGCAGCTACCACTTATCGAATTCGCGTACAACAACCCGCCATCTGCCACGACCCAACAGTCACCATTTTACTTGAACTACGGACAAGACCCTACAGTACCCATGACTCCGAATCCCGACAACCTGGTGCCACGCGCGCAGCAATTCGCAGAAATTCTACAAGAGGCACGAACCAGGGCAGCATACGCAATTAAAAAAGCCAACGTCATCGCTAAGCGCAACGCCGACCGCCACCGCAGACCCGTCACTTACCAACCCGACGACTTAGTTCTACTCGACACCTAAAACCTCCGCCTGCCCATAACTCCAAAACTCCGCCCCCGGTATTGTGGGCCATTTCGCATCAGCCACATGATTACACCCGTCATTGCCCACCTCCTCCTCCCTGCTGACTGGTACGTCAGCCCATCCTTCCACGTCAGCCTGCTTCGCCCCTACATTCCATCCACCAGCCAACTGGCCCGAAATCGCCCCGCCAGCATGACACGACCACCGACCGAGCCAGTCATCACGCCCGAGAAGATTCTGAGCCACCAAGTTCGTGACCCACGAGGAGCTCGAAGGGTCGAATTCCTAATCCGCTGGAGAGACCACACGCCCACCGCGGATAATTGGGTTCCACTGGAGAAAATCGAAAACCACCCCGTCATCAACGAGTACCTGCGCAGCCGAAATTTCCAGGATATACACGCGCTCTCGTAAGAGAGGCCTCCTTGAGGGGGGGGGTAGTGTAAGGAAATTTCCTTTTCCTTACTTCGCGTCCCTGCTCAGTGCGTACACCACTGTTCCCGCCAAAGCACCCCACAATATTCCGTTACCACTCGCGACATTCGCCTCGACACCATTCCCGCCACTGTACACGATGCGACCCAACCTCACGGTTCGGTTGGTAACCCACGCTCCGGACCTCCGCCTCGACAGTCCCCAACCTCGGCACCAGGCCCGTCGCGCACCCCATTTTCCCACGTTACCGTTACCACCGTAGCTTCGCTATATATTATTCGCTCAATCTTTCGCTCATTGTATTCTTGTCTCGATAGTGCAATCCTCGCTCTCTCACTCAATTGCACTCGTAACAGGTGGGATGCGTTTCTACAAGCCGATCTGTACGTATAACCGATTTAACAATTGCGAGAAAGAAAAGTGGGCTGGGCAGGTGGTGTTCTTGGTGTTCGACACGTGGGCAGAAAGGTGCGAGCAGTTTCGAGAGCTAAGATAATGCTGCCCAAGGGTGGTTACAGAAAGTGATTCCCAAGGGAACAAGTGATGACCCAATGTGGTTATGCTTTTTGAGCCAAAAGCTACATCTTTTCCACACCTGGACAAGTCTGGCTGCATCTGTACACTCTACTGTGTATATCTGGCCAAATTCAACTGTTCGGGTAGCGGGCATTCAGCTGCACGTGCTCCTGCATCAACTCATCTCATCTCTCATCAGCTTCACTGCTCACCATTCCTTGATGTCATCAAATGTCATTGTTTGGCGTGTGAATTTGCTCGTCAACGCACCTTCCTCGAATTCGCCACCAGGCTCACTTGAGCTGCTGATGTCGAAAGCTGCAGCCGCAACGGTCGCGCAGTGTCGCATGAATATCCCTGCGAAATGACATGCGGGGAAGCTCGACAAACCTGACCTGACGGAAATGGAAGCGTTACGCCATCCGACCTACGTACAGCTGATCTGAGCCGTAGATACCAAGCTGAAGGGTTTCTTCGAGCAGGACGAGGGCCACCTTTCGTTTATGAGGGACTGACACGTGTCGAATAATGTGTGCCCCATGACATTACCACCGTTGTTCCTCATAGCCCATCACCGACCAGATTCCTGGGATGTTGCACTCCTCGAACATGAAGCCCGTCGCAAGCAATCCGCGACGCGACTGGTCGCCTCCACCTTCGTTTGATCTGCAGGTACAGTATTTGTCAAATCGGAGCGCGGCGCTGGCAGGCAGTACGGAACGGTATCTTGTTGGATGGCCTTGCATTTCTGATCAGACCTGTCATTCGTCCCATTCACACACCCATGCCCGCAAAAGCAAGCCAGATTCGTTACCTCTGCAAAGAGTTTCCTTCGGCCTAGACCCCCTAGGTATTCCAAGGCGATCCCATAAACTTCAATACAAGAGCTGCAGAATGCGGTTGTTTCCTGCGAATTGTTTCTTAAAATTGACAATTTCATAACTGGGTCCCGGGAAAATAACACACCACTAGGACGGATCAGGGGATGTTTAAAAAAACCCTACGTTTAGTACATTGTCATCTATATCAAACTATGCTTTGGAGGGTTTTTTTACGCGCAGGCCTTGAGGCGAAGAACCCGTTTCGCGCTTTCCGCTACCCGCAATTGCCCCTGGCGGCGTGTCCGCTCTCCAACTCAACATCCATGGCAAGCTGGCTGCCAAATTCCGCGTGCGGCTGTCTGTCTCCCCCAGATCCTCCCCACCTCACACGCGTGTTTTCGGCGCGGAGTGATTTTCTAACGCGGACTGATTTCCCGACCACGTGTGTCCCAATCTTTTCCCAGCCCAGCCTCACGTCCATAAAGGCAACGTGACGAACACTTCTCTGTCCACCATTTTAGCAACCAAGATGCTTCTCGTTTATTGATCGGAGGTTCTGCCAGAGAGTGCCTAACAACGCATTTTATACCGTAACTGTAACTCGCGCTGCAAGCTGTCGCCTTGAAGCTCGGTTTCCTGTTGCTGCGACTGGCAAAGAGCGTTGTAAACGTAACTACTGTTCCTCGAAGCTCGGTTGGTTTCGTCCAAATTGAGTAGCGTTTCAATGGCTTCCCAGACCGCCATTGGCGTTATTAATCACTTACAAGCACCACCGAACAATGGAATCGACATCGCGCCGTCGAACGCGATCCGCAGCACGCTCGGCGCGGTCGAAATGGCGGCGCTGGAAGGCAAGCTGCAGCTGCTGCAGATTCAGCGACAGCTCTCAGCCGTCCGATGCCAAGGCTTCATCGAGATGATCCAATCCTCGCTGCTCGCAGAGCAAGAAGAAGCCGCCGCCGCATCCGCCGTGAAATCCGCAGTAAAATCTGCTGCAAGATCCGCTGGCGGCAGTGACGCCGCATCTGGCGGCGGCGCTGGCGCTGATCCGAGGCTGACGAGGAATGACGTCGAGCCGCTGGATCGATCGAGGCGCCAATCGCGGCAGCTTTTCCGGCATATGTCGCTCGAAGTTCATCCAACGGCCGGCAACCAAACCTGGAGAGAAGATCTTAGCTTTTACGACGAACCCACGTCGTGCTCTCCACGCGTGCAGGGTCATGGCGGAAACGCCGCTTCTCACGGTAGCCCTTCCCGGTTGCGTGGTTCCCCGCGACACAGATCCCCGCGCAACGCTTCTGCGCGCGCACAGGCTAGCGCATCCGCTTCGCCCCGCGCCCTTGCGCAAACGCCTGCTCTTCCGCGGCCCGGATCACCTCTCGTTGCCGCGCCGGGCGCGCGTCATCTTCCGCTTACTCCGCTCACGGTTTCCGCCTCTTCCCCGCGAGTTGCTGCGCTTGCGAATTCGTCCCTTCGGAGGCACGTCAGCCTGAGTGCAGGGTTCGAATCCCCGTGCCAATAAAATATATCAACTCTGTTTACGAAGGCTGCAACTTAAGCGAATTCAGCGATCTTTTTCGTAGACGGGCTGTGTTACTCCGCAACTTCCAACTGACTCAATCTGTAGAACTCATTACAGTTTGCTGCGCTGCTACTTCTTCGCAAGCAAAGCAAATAAAGTTACTGTAGAACACCCAGCTAGGCTGCCTGCCTCCCCTTACTGGCACAATGTCAGTATCTCCTTAAGTGAATTTCTAGAAGGGGTTTGCCAGGGCCTACCCCTCATCACACGGTATAAGCAATGTGTTTGCTTTATGTAGATAATGGAAACTAGCACCATTTGCTCTGGTTTACATTTGCTTGCTGCTGTCTAGTGGATTTGTACAGTCCCTTGCAAGAATGCATTGCACCATTAGCTCACTCTTCTGTCACAGATGCAAAAGTGGATGTGTAAATGGTTGAGACCGATGTAACATCAATATAACCTTACCCACATTGACTTCATTAAATCAATACCCTCTGCCTGCTACCGTATGCCCTGCACCCGCTGCAAATTCCCATCCACCACAATTCTCGCTTTCGATATCCCCCAGATTAATTTCTCCTCTCCTCCCCACTAATCCACACAGATTCCCTCTCCACTCCACTCCACCCTTCAATAGCGTCAATACCCCCCTCTCTGCGCCTCCCTGCTACCACCTGGTAAACCCCTCCACCCACCAAGGCTCTCTCCCACCCGCGCCTGTCTTCCCTCCCCTCCACTTGGTAAACCCCTCCTCCCCACCACGGCTCTCTCCCCCTCCTCTTCAGATACCCACTGGTACGCCAGAAGGTTCTCCTCCCACCCGCTCCAGGGCTCTCCCGCAGCGTCCACCCACTCAGCATGGCTGGCAGCAGCACCACACTCTCCCACCTGCTCTGACCCTCCCAGCTGCTCCACGCCCCCCCCGCAGCGTCCACCCACTCAGCAAGGCCGGCCAGTGGCATGTGCTGCTGGGAGTAAGGAATCGGTATCAGTACCCTTTGTCCGCCCTGCCCTGTTTCCACTTGGTAAACCCCTCTACCATTTCTCGCTCTTCCTCCTCACACACCCACTGGTAGGCCAGCAGATTCTCCTCCCATGCGCTCCACGGCTCCCCTCCCGCATGCAACCACTGCAGCATGGCTGGCGAAACATGCTCGTGGGAGAATGCCTCTACTCTCTCAGTGACCCCTGTCCGCTCTGCCCTGCTTCCACTGCGCATACCCCTCAACCACCTCTCTCTCCTCCTCCCCAGAGATCCACTGATGGGCAAGCAGATTCTCCTCCCACCTGCTCCACGGCTCCCCCTCAGCGTCCACCCACTGCAGCATGGCTGGCAGCACGTGGCCTTCGGTGAAGGCCTCTACTCTCTCAGTAACCCCTGTCTGCCCTCCCCTGCTTCCACTTGGTAAACCCCTCTACCACTTCTCTCTCCTCCTCCTCACACACCCACTGGTACGCCAGGAGGTTCTCCTCCCCCCCACTCTAAGGTTCCCCTCCAGCGTGCAACCACTGCAGCATGGCTGGCAGCACGTGGTGCTGAGAGAATGCCTCTTCTCTCTAGCACGTGCTGCTGGGAGACGGGGCTCAGTAGCCCCTCTCTGCTCTCCCCTGCATCCACTTTGCATACCCCTCTACAACCTCTCGCTCCCCCTCCTCCGATACCCACTCATAGGCCAGCAGATTCTCCTCCCACCCGCTCCACGGCTGCACTATAGGTGGGAGGGAGGAGTGGGCTTAGTACCCTCTCTCTGCTCTGCCCTGCATCCACTTTGCATACCCCTCGACCACTTCCCTCTCCTCCTCCTCACACACCCACTGGTATGCCAGCTGGTTCTCCTCCCACCCACTCCACGGTTCCCCTTCCACCCTCCACTGACCTCAGTACCCTCTGTCTGCTCTGCCCTGCTTCCGCTTGGTAAACCCTCCCACCACAACCCGCTCCTCCTCCTCACACACCCACTGGAATGCGAGGAGAGGAGGTTCTCCTCCCACCCACTCCACGGCTTCCCCTCAGCATCCACCCATAGCTGCATGGCTGGCCGGTGGTACGTGCTGCTGGAAGTAGAGGGTCAGGACTAGTAGCCTCTGTCCGCCCTCCCCTGCTTCCACTTGGTAAACCCCTCCACCAACTCTCGCTCTTCCTCCTCACACACCCATTGGTACGCCAGCAGGTTCTCTTCCCACCCGTTCCACTGCTCCCCTCCCACCCTCCAGTGACCTCAGTACCCTCTTTTAGCCCTGCCCTGCATCCACTTTGCATACCCCTCTACCACTTCCCTCTCCTCCTCCTCACATACCCACTGGTATGCGAGGAGGTTCTCCTCCCACCCACTCCAGGGCTCCCCTCCCGCGTCCAGCCACTGCAGCATGGCTGGCAGCACGTGGTGTTGAGAGAATACCTCTACTCTCTCGCACACAGCAGGTGACATGTGGAGTGATGGGGGGGAGGATGGGGAGGAGGATTGCGAGGAGGGAGAGGAGGAAGGTGTGGAGGAGAGAGGGGAAACGCTGAGGGCTGGTTGAGATGTGTGAAGTGGCGATAAGGCAGAGTGCCACTGCGTGTATAGCCTTAGTGCTTCCTGCTGCTGCTGCTGTTGCTGCTGCTGCTGCTGCTGCTGCTGCTTGAAACGGTTTGTTGATTCAGCTTCTAGAGGAGCGCTGGACTGAGGAACCTCAAGTTCAGCAGCAGAGGAGGAGGAATTGTTTCCGGGCAGCTTTGGTGCCCGGAACGGCATGAACGAGCAGTCGGCCAATAGGAGGCCTTGGGGGGGAGCGAGGGGCAGAACGATGCGGGAGTGGCGGGCGAGGGAGGGTAGCAGCATGGAGGGGGGGATGGCTCCGTGCAGCACTGCCAATGCCGTCCCCACCATCTTGCGAATCTGCCAATACAGGGGGAAAGAGGGGGTGGGAGAGTAAGTGGGTGTCTTGGTGTATCAAACCCGCCTCCAAACTGCTTCTACTTGGCTTGAGACGGGCTTTAAAAGGGCCACGGAGAGAGAGGGGGGCAGAACGATGCGGGTTGTTGGGAGGAAGGAGTGGTGAGTAAAGGTGGCGAGGGACGGCAGCAGCATGAATGGGGGGATGACCTCGTGCAGGACTGCTAGAGCCGTGCCCATCCCACCATCTCGCGAATCTGAGAGGCAAGGGATTGGGGAAGGGGAAGAGAGGGGAGGGTTGTAAGCCGCCTCAACGCAGCAGCGTAGCGGAGGGGATGGCCCCGTGCAGCACTGCTAGAGCCGTGCCCACCATCTTGCGAATCTGATCATAGGGGAAACGCAGAAGAGATGAGACCAGGGGACGGAGGGGAGGTGGGACGGTGTCGTTGTGCATCGAACCAGCCCCAAAACCTGCCTCCAAATGGCCTTGAAACGGCCTTGAAACGTCCCCCTCCTCCCCCCATCCACCTCTCACCTGGTGCAGCATAAACGACTCTTCCCGAATCACAACGTGGACAAATCTCCGCCAGCCTTCCCTGCCTCCCCCACTGCTCCCCCTCACCTGGTGCAGCATCAACGACTCTCCTCGAGTCACAACGCGGACGAATCTCCGCCGCTCCTGCCGTCCCACACCCCTCCCTCCTTCCACCTCTTCTCCCTCCAATCTGCTCCCGTCCTCAAGTCTGCTCCCCTCCACACTGTTTGCATAAAAAACGCCCTCTTCAATCACGCCCTCTTCAATCACGCCCTCTTCAATCACGCCCTCTTCAATCACGCCCTCTTCAATCACGCCCTCTTCAATCACACCCTCTTCAATCACGCCCTCTTCAATCACGCCCTCTTCAATCCACGGCAGAACCGTGCAAGTGTCAATCGTTCTGAAGTGTGCCGTGCTGATTTTGTCGCGCTTCTCCGTTTCATGCATTCACCCCCCATTACACACCCTTTCCCCTCACCTGGTGCAGTATGAATGAATCTCCTCAGATCACAACCCAATCAGAACACAGCCCCCCACCTCCCTTTCCTCATCCCCCTCACCTGGTGCAGCATAAACGATTCTCCCCGGATCACAACGCGGACGAATCTGCGCCGCTCCTGTCGTTCCACGCCCCTCCCTCCTTCCGCCTCGCCTCCCTCCAAGGTGCCCTCTTCCAATCTGTCGTCTTCATACACGCCCTCTTCAATCCAAGGCAGCACCGTGCAAGTGTCAATGGTTCTGAAGTGCGCTGTGCTGATTTTGTCGCTCTTATCCGTCTCATGCAGCCACACCACCTTCCTCCCCGCCCTCTCCGCCCCCTTTCGCTCCTGTGCCCTATCCTCAGACACACCGCCTCCCTCCCTCTCACTGATCCTGTCGCTCTTATCCGTCTCATGCAGCCACACCGCCTTCCTCCCCGCCCTATCCAACCCCCCTGCCCCCGCCGCTTCCTCCCCCTCTTGCACCCCAAACCCCCCAGCTCTATCCTCCCCCTCGCCCTCTTTCTCCCCTACCCTCTCTTGTTCTCCTCCCATCCCACTGCCCATTTGAATTTGAACCCTCTCAGTCGTCTCAACTCTCCTCTCTGCCTCCCTCGGAAGGGCCACAGAAGCCACAGTTCCTCCCCCCTCCACTATCTCTCGACCTGTCGTAACAGCCCCGGCACTTTCCTCTCTCCCTTTTCCCCATCCTTCCCCCTTCCCCTCCTCTCTGCCTCTCCCCCATGCACCCCCACTCCTCAGCCTTCTGTCGCCAGCAGCATTCCCCCTCTCTCCACCACCCTCCCCCTTGCCTCCCTCCTCTTCTTCTCCCCCTTCCTTTTTCTTCTTCTCGCGATACAGCCTCCTCACAGTGTAGTTGTGAAAGGCATGCTTGCCCTGTGAGGGGTTGGGAGAGAGAGGGACGAGGTGGAAATGCAAATGAAACGTGCAAACACAATGTCATTCCTCGTAGAAGCACCCTGCTTCCCTCCTCCCCCCGCTCCCTCCTCTTCCTCCCTCTTCTTCTTCTCGCGATACAGCCGCCGCACAGTGTAGTTGCGAAACGCATGCTTGCCCTGGTGGGGGGAACGGGGAAGAGGGGAGGATTGATGTGCAGCGGAACATCTAAACACAATCCTGATACTCTGCTAAAGCAACCTGCTGTCTCCCTCTTACTCCTCCTCCTCCTCCCCCTTTTCTCTTCTTCTTGTCCCCATACAACCGCCTGACTTTTGAGAATTCTCAAAAGTCACTGTAGTTGTGAAATGCGGGCTTGCCCTGGTGTGGGGTGGGGGGTGGGAGAGGAGGATAGAAGTACAGAGGAACATGGAAACACAATCCTCCCCTTTCTTCCAACTGCTTCATACAGTGCACCAGCCGCACGGTGCAGTTGAGAAAGGCGTGCCTTTCCTGGGTGTGGGGGTTGGGGAGGAGGGGGGGAGAAACGCGAATGAAACCTGGAAACGCAACGTAATCCTGTGGGAAAGCAGCTAGTTGTGTCCCCCTCCTCCTCCCCTTTCTCCCTACTGCTTCATACAGTGCACCAGCCGCACAGTGCTGTGCGTTCCCCTTCGCTCTGCACAGCACGCTTTTCCTCCCCTGATGCGAAAGGCGTGTGTCCCCTCCCCTGAGGTGGGGGGGAGCGAAAGGTGGCGAGGGGGGTTGGTTGGTAGGGTGGGGAAACGCAGAGGAACAGAATTCTGCTTGCAACTTCCTGCACTGCACTGCACCGCACCGCACTGCACCGCACTGCACGGCGCCGCGTGCCAGGTTTTAAGCCGTCTCAAAATGCAGAAAAACATGGAAACAAGAGAAATGCGCCGCAGTGCGCCTGGCTATGTATATACTCACCTCACCACCCAGCTCCAGCCGCTGTGCGCCAGGTTCAAGCAATAAAGCATGGAGAAACCGTTTTCATCATGCCAATAAAAAAGGAAGTAAAAGAATAGAAAAAAAAAAAAAAAAAAAAAAAAAAAAAAAAAAAAAAACAAACGGAATGAAGAAAAGAAAAGGAAAAAGATTGTTACCCATACCAGTTACCTCAAATGTGTTCAGTATCTGCTGAAACTCCTTCAGTCGCCTCCTCAACTCCTCTTCCTCTTCCTCCCCTTTTCCTCTCAGTCCTCCTCTCCTGCTGCTTATCGGAAGCAGCAAATCAGAAGGGAGTAAGTAGTGGTAGGTGCGGCTCACACATGCCCTTCTGGCCGAGAAGCTCCTGTCAGGGGAGGGGAGACAGCGGCAGGTGAGAAAGGCAGCGGCAAATCAGAAGGGAGCAGGTAGTGGTAGGTGCGACTCACACACGCCCTTCTGGCCGAGAAGCTCCTGTCAGGGAGGGAGGGAGGGAGGGAGGGAGGGAGGGAGGGAGGGAGGGAGGGAGGGAGGGAGGGAGGGAGGGAGGGAGGGAGGGAGCGGATAAGGAGGGAGGGGCAGGGTTGGGTAGCAAGCAGACAGCAGGTAATGGTAGGTGCGACTCACAAACACACACGACTGACTGAGTGCAGGAAAATCACTCCATGGAGGGAACAGGAAATGGAACTCACTTGGTGACTGGCACGGCGCCAAACACACGGATGGAGGGCGGCAGATGGGCATTGATGGCATCCGCTGCTGCCAAGCCAGCTCGCTCCTCCTCCTGCGGGTCTTGCCCTTTTTGAAAGAGACTCTCTGGCAGCTCGAGCTTCACAGACACCACCGTTGCCACTGAATGCACCTGAGATGGAGAGGGAAGGAGGGGGAGAGAGAGAGGCAGAGCGAGGGAAGACAGAGCAGAGCAGCAATGAGACATGAGCGGGGCTCACTCATGCCATCCCTCACCCGGTTCAGGTTTGAGACGTCTCAAAACGAGACATGAGCGGGGCTCACTCATGCCATCCCTCACCCGGTTCGCGCCACGGGCTATGCCGTCAGGGTTCGGCCAATCCACCCCTCACCTGGTAGCAGAGCAGCAATGAGACATGAGTGGGGCTCACTCATGCCACCCCTCACCTGGTAGCAGAGCAGCAATGAGACATGAGTGGGGCTCACTCATGCCACCCCTCACCTGGTAGCAGAGCAGCAATGAGAAATGAGTGGGGCTCACTCATGCCACCCCTCACCTGATAGCACAGGTCTCACCCTCTCGTATGCAGTGCCCTTCAGAGCACATTGCACTGCCACCACATTGCACTGCCACCACATTGCACTGCCACCACATTGCACTGCCACCACATTGCACTGCCACCACATTGCACTGCCACCACATTGCACTGCCACCACATTGCACTGCCACCACACCGGACCGGACCACACTCCACTCATTCCCTAGTCCGTTCCGTTCTGCTGCTCCTGCTCCACCCAATTTTGGCCAGAATGCTTGGTTTACCTGTTACACCATCTACTGCACTGCACCGCACTGCACCGTGCTGCACCACATTTCACCACACTGTACCACGCTCCACTCACCCCCTTGTCCGTTCTGCTGCTCCTGCTCCACCCAATCTTGAACAGATCCCCGAAGTTGCTAGGAAGCATCATGCCCGCCGCCAGTAACGCCTGCTCCAGATAACCCTCGACCGCTGGAATGATGGGGGGAGGGGGGAGATGGGGAGAGAAGAGAGCGCAAATTGGAGGGGTGGGGGAAGGCGTTAAGTGATGGGGAAGCATCATGCCCCCCGCCAGTAACGCCTGCTCCAGATAACCCTCCACCGTTGGAAGGATGATCGGGGAGAAGGAGGAGTGGGGGAGGGATGAGGGCAGCGGTGGGAGAGAGAGAGAGGGGGGAAACGGCAGGCACCGGGGGAATCGGTGCACGGTGGAACGGAGAAACTAAGATTCCTGAGAAACTAGCATTCTACGATTAGATTGGAAATAACCCTGCTAAAGCAGGACTATTCCGTGAAGGTGCTATGGATAATGGAGACGGTATTGCAGTAGGGCGGTGGGAGAGGGGTTGGGCGATGGGGGGTTGGGCGATAGGTAGGAGCAATGTTGCCGTTACTACATGAGAACGCATGTGAAGGGGTGTGTGTGAAGGGGTGTGTGTGAAGGGGGCACTCACTCGGCACCGACTCAGTTGAAAAGGTGCTGGCAGGTTCGCTGCTGCTGCTAGATTTCCCCTCGCTACTGTCACAGTCCTCATAGTCACTATCAATGTCAGAGGCGTCTGAAGGGAGAGGCACCGGGATTGCTCTCTGTATCTGCAGGCCTGTGGAGGGAGAGGAGGGGGGAGAGAGAAGTGGAGGTTACAATAACATAAGAGAGAAGCAGAGTTGCTGTTACGGCCACTGTCACTGGATAAGGGAGAGGGAGGAGCAGATGTTAGGATAAGAAAGCCAGGGCAGTGGTTAGGAACAGTGTTGCCATTACTGTCACAGTCACTATCAGAGGCGTCTGATCTGAAGGGAGCGGCACCAGGCTTGCTCTCTGAATCTGCAGCCCTGCGGGGGGAGAGAGACGGATAGAGAGACGAGCAGGGGTTGGGATAAGAAAGCGAGGGCAGGGGTTAGAAGCAGAAAGCTGTCACTGTCACAGTCCTCATCGTCACTCTCATCAGAGGCGTCTGAAGGGAGCAGCACTGGGCTTGCTCTCTGAATCTGCAGCCCTGTGGGGGAGGAGAAGCGGGGAGAGAGAGGAGCAGGGGCTAGGATCAGAGAGAAGCAGTGTTGCCGTTACTGTCACAGTTCCCATAGTCACTGTCACTATCAAACGCGTTTAAAGGGAGCAGCACCGGGTTTTCTCTCTGTATGTGCAGCCCTGTGGGGGGAGACACGAGAGTGGATAGAGGGGAGCAGCGGTTGATATAAGGCGATATAAGACCCCTTGAGTCGAGCAGCGGAGGGAGGGGAGGAGCGCGCAAACCCTGCTAGCCTCCCTCATCACACATGGATAGAGCGGAGCAGCGGTTGATATAAGAAAGCGAGGGGCAGGGGTTGGGAGCACTGTTGCTGTTACTGTCACACTCCTCGTAGTCACTGTCACTGTTAGAGGCGTCTGAAGGGAGTGGCACCGGGATTGCCCTCTGAATCTGCAGGCCTGTGGGAGGGGAGAGAGGAGCAGAGGGGTCCGGATAAGCGTGAGGGATGAAGATGGTAGGACGGGAATGAAGGAAGGGAGAGGGACGGACGGGTGTCTCTCAGACCCAGCCAAACCCCTCTGAACCTCCCTACTCTTGTGCCGCTCGCCCTGTGAGAAAAATGTGGGTGGGTGGGATACATTGGGACGGAGGTCATATGTAGGTAGGAGGAGGACGGTGTGAATCTGCCATGGATTCACCTCAGCAGCAACCAGTTCTGATTTGATTCACACCGGGTATAATCTAATGGTGGAATTCATGCCAGATTTTATGTAAATACTTGATAAATCTCCCCCTCTTAAACCCTGAACTTTATCCCTGCCTTTGAACTCCGTCCCAGCAGATCCCAACCAGAAAGCCATAACAAATAGTCTTTCCTAAGCACCACCTCCAAAAGGCAAGAATCTGTCTTGAGCCTCACAGCCTCTTCACAATCCTTTAACCCCCTCTTAAACCCTGATTCCCAGCCCTACCTTCGAACTCCGTCCCAACGTATCCCACCCAGAGAGCCACCCGCCACTTTCGCCACTCCTAAATTACTTGGTGTCGGCCTCTCGTAAGCCTAAAGCCGAAACCCTTTCTTTGGATTCTTCCTCTTAGACCCAAAATTTTGCCTTACCTTTGAACTCCGTCCCAACGTATCCCACCCAGAGAGCCACACGCCGCTTCCGGATCTTCCCGCCACTGGAAGAATCTCCCTCTCCAACCACCGCCTGACACGTGTCCAAAGGTTGTAGCGCGTTGGGCTGACGTGTCACCGTTCCAGGGCCTGCCTCAGTGGCCTCCTCACTAATAGCGGATCTCGCAACGGCTCGGGTTCTCTCACTAGCAGCCGTGCCACGTGGCACAACATTTCGTGATTTACGGGAAATCTGTCTGAATTGGTATCCGCTATCCCAGCTGCTTCGGAAGACGCTGTTCGAAACAGAAGTTTGGACTAAGGCTCTTGTACCTATGTGAGAATTAATCTCCTTCAAGGGATTAACCACTACACGCGCTGCGCGGGTGCAGCATTGATCAGGATGTAACACCTGCGTTCCGAGCAGGAAACGCATGGCTTCAGGAGCAACAGGAGTATCAGGAGTAACAGGAGGGAAAATGGTCTGGCGAGCGATCAAATTGGAGCGCGAATGAGAGGTGAGGGATGTTCGATGCGCTTCGAGAATGCTTCGTAAGGGAACGATCTGGCGAATGATAAGGCGGGAATCAGAGGCGAAGGGTGGCATTCGGATGATTCTAACGGAAATCGCACGCAGCAGGGCCGAGAATTTGAAGAGACTCTCTAGTCAACCTTGTGATCAGGCGAGAGTGAGAGGCGAGGAATGGCATTCGCGTGTTTCTAATAAGAAACGTAGTATCAAAGGGGGCAACTGTTGGAACGAGCTACCATTGGGAGCCCAGGCCGCTTTTGGTTCCTTGACCTTCGTAGCCCGCCGAATCGGGCGCTGTTGGCGGATATTGCGGCACGGAGGCATTGGGTTGTGATAAAAGCCTAGACGGGAAGTGGGGGGAGGAAATCGAGTGCAGAATAGCTTGGCTTTCACGCCGTCCCGTTGTCAGTGAACTGCATTATTCATGTGAATATGAAACAGCGAATTTGGCAATATGAAAATGTATGTCGATAAATTGATGAAAAATAGGGAAAGTTAGATATACTGAAACAGCGAATTCATACTGAATATGATTTCTTCATTTGATATTTATTTTTTCGGTCGAGATGTATGATCATCGTCAGATACTGTTTTTTAGCATTTTAGCATAGCGGTGTGGATTGCGAATCGGCCAAGAACCGCATAGCGCGTTATTCTGCACCTGGATCGCACTGCACCGACAAGTTCTCTCCCTCCCCTCACACGAACACACTGGTGACCTTTATAGGTGCCACATTTTCTCGAACCGCCTAGTAGGTGCTGCCCAAAATCGCCTATTCGCCTTCAAAATCACCCACGCCCAACCGTAGCCATACTAGGTCCGACACGTGTTTAGTCACCCGTCATTGGGCGTAGATCACGGCCGTAGTTCACGGGTTTATAGCCATGGCGGACGAGGAGTCAAATCGGCAAGCGCAGGTGGAGGAGATGGAGGCGCTGGAGGCGATCTACGGCTCAGATTGCTTCTCGTACTCGAGCGACGAGCACTGCTGCAGAGTGAGCGGACGCGGAATTCACGAAAGCCGCGACAGTCGCGAAAGTCGCGAGAGTCACGAAGTCGCAAGAGTCACGAAAGTCGCGAGTCACGAGTATCGTGCTCGAGCGACAAGCACTGCTGCAGAGCGAGCAGATCGCGTCGCGAACATCCCCGTTAGAGACGTCTCCAAGCAGCTCGCCATCTGCATTGCAAGTGGCCGAGCCAATCGGCTCGGCTCGTCGGCTCGGCACGCGAGCGCTTTCAGCTCAGCCCGATGCCGAGCCGAACCGAACCGAACCGAGCCGAGCCGAGCCGAGCTGGCTTGATGAGCCGAACCGAACCGAACCGAACCGAGCCGGCGTCGATCGCAACCACTCGGCTGTCTGTCGTCCACAAGCCCCGTCGCGCGGATATGGCCAGGGACGACACGACGAGCCGTCGCGACGACCATATTTGCGCGGATCTGGCGCGTAGGGGTCGAGTGCGGATCTGGCGCGCTCGACCCACCACCGCCCCTCCCCCTCCCTCCTTCTCATCCCCACTTTGTCCCTGGCCCTCGCATCAGGCTATATCAGGGATCCCGATTCAGTCACAGATATGGATAGTCACACCCCGCGTGACCACCACCGCCACCACCCCTCGCCCTCCCGTCCCCTCCCCTCCCCCCGCCCCCTCACTCTCCTCATGCTCCTCCTCTCCTACCCCCTTTTTCTTTTTTACCAACAGATAACTATTCAGCACCCCCCCTATTCAGTCACATTTACGGACAGCCACACCAACCCCTCCCCCTCCCCATCCCCTCTCCCTCCTCTCCTCCCCCAACCAGATAACCATTCAACACCCCGATTCAGTCACATCCTTGGACAGTCACACCCACCCCCCCTCCCTCACTCTCCTCCTGCACCTCCCTGCCGCCTACCCCTCCCACGCCGCTCCCGTTGCTGAGCTGGCACGCTGCGATTGGCTCCCGGACGAAGAGAGAAGCAGGCTGTGCTGCCAGCTGGATAGAATGGCAGGGGGAGGCGGAGGGGGAGGGGGAGGGGGAGGGGGAGGGGCACATGAGGGGGAGGCAAGAGGAGGGGAAGAGGAGAGTTTGTGTGGAGAAGTGGTGATTTTCCAATGGGTGGAATGGATAAAGGTGGGTATCTTACATGGTTACTGCGTTTCAGTCACAATAGTAGGCTGCATTACAGTCACAATAAGAAGGCCGCGATATAGTCACAGTTCAGCCCACCATCCCATGCTTTTTAGGCGCCATGGAAGTGAAATTTCTAGAATTCTCAAAAACCACCTGCAACAACAGAGTCTCAGCTCAGACCACCATCCCACGCATCGTCGTCCCCTCACCCCATGTCTGTGTGGCCTCACTCACGCCTGCCTGCCTGCCTGCCTGCCTGCCTGCCTGCCTGCCTGCCTGCCTGCTGCCTCCCCTCTTTCAATGCGGTTCTTCAGAATTCTCAACAACACACCTGCAACAACATAGTCACAATTAGCTCACCATTCCATGCGTTGCGCCCCCCATGTGTTTCTGGCATCTCTCACTCCTGCCTGTCTGCTCCCTCCCCTCTCGGACCTCTCCCCATGCCTCCCCATGTCTCCCCCCACAACCCCCACCTTCTCCCATCACACACCATCCCTAACCATCCCCAACCACCCCCAATCACTCCCAACCATTCCTGCTCGCCTCCCATGTGTGCAGGAGCAGCAGTGGGTGTGGCAGCACGCTCCTGTGTTGACCATGCGCCATACCAACCATCCCATACCAACCCCAACCGCTCCTAACCACTACCAACCATCTCCAACCACCCCCACCCTCTCCTGCTCGCCTCTCGTGTGTGCAGGAGCAGCTGTGGGTGTGGAATACGCTCCGGTATTGGCAGAGCAGCAGGAGAGGGAGAGAGAGGGGAGCAGCATCTCAACTACCCTGAACCACTCCCAACCACTCCAACCAACCCCCAACGTGTGCAGGAGCAGCAGTGGGTGTGGCAGCACGCTCCTGTGTTGGCAGAGCAGCAGGAGACGGAGAGAGAGGTGAACAGCAGGAGGGAGGGCGGGGAGGCAACAGGGGAGACAGAAAGAGGTGCAGCAGTGGAAGCAGCAGCGGCGGCAGAGGCAACAGCAAGGAGAGGAGGAGGCAGAAGAGGGGAGGAGGGGAAGGTGGGGGACAGTGGGGAGGAGGAGGCAGGGGAGATAGAGAGGGCTCTTGGCATTATGCATGGCGTTCCATTCACTGAGAAGAGAAGTGAGTGAACAAGGGAGGGGTTTGAGTGAGTGAGTGAGTGAGTGAGTGAGTGAGTGAGTGAGCAAGTGGGACTGCTGAATCGACTCAGCGAAAGGTAAAATCTTAGAGGGCTCTTGGCATTATGCATGGCGTTCCATTCACTGAGAAGAGAAGTGAGTGAGAGAATACAGGGGCGTGCAAGTTTTTGCGAGTGTGTGTGAGTGAGTGAGTGAGTGAGTGAGTGAGTGAGTGAGTGGGTGAGTGAGTGAGTGGTGTTTGAGCGTATTTTCTCGTAAATTGTGTAATTTTTCTCTTACCCTGTGTACTGAATGAATGTGTTCTTACCCTGTACACTCTACTACCATTCATTCTTATAGTTGTGTACTATTCTACGGTATACTATAATACCATGCATTGTGTACTATATTACTGTGCACTATTTGCACAATAGCACCATGTTAGGACATTTAACATCAGGTTCACCATCTCACCAACTCGTGTTTCCCCCTGATCGCACCTTCCAGGTACTTTCTAGGCCCACCTGGCACCTGTCCACTCGCCTGCTGACGTGCCGTTAACTGTTTTTGAGTCGACAAAAAAAAAAAAAAAAAAAAAAAAAAAAAAAAAAAAAAAAAAAAAAAAAAAACGACTCAAAAACAGTCTTGGCATTGTGCATGGCGTTCCTTCCCTTCACTGAGAAGAGAAGTGAGTGAGAGAGTGCGGGTGTGTGTGAGTTATTGCGAGTGTGTGCGAGTGAGTGTTGCTTGAGCATCTTTTCTTGAAGATTGTGTAATTTTTCTCTTACCATGTGTACTGAATTACAAAAGTTGTAGTATGACTGTTTGCTATATTCCTGTACACTTTACAACTATTCATTAATATAGTTGTGTAGTATTTTATTGTATGCTATATTACTATGTAATTTGTACTAGATTACTGTACATTATGGCACAATAGCACCATGAGAGGGCATTGAACGTCAGGGTCGCCATCTCACAAGCTCTCATTTTCCACGACTGCTCCTTCCAGGTACTTTCCAGGCCCACCTGGCGCCTGTCCACTCGCCTGCTGACGTGGCAGCAGTCATGGACGTCCTTCTGGCCAATCGCAAGATAGCAGGCGCCACGCACAACATCATGGCCTATCGTATCGTGACAGCTGGCGCAAACGGCAGCACTGTGAGTGCGGTACATTGGGGAAAAGGGGGGTGGGGGATGGGGGGAGAGGGGAGGGTAGTGGGGGAAAGGGAGAGGGGGGTGTTACTTCTGGGTATTCTCAAGAGCCGCGCATGGCATCATGGCCTATAGGATTGTGACAGCTGGCTCAAATGGCAGCACTGTGAGTGCTGTGCGTTTGGGAGGGGAGGGGGTGGGGGGAGGGGGGGAAGAGAGGGCTGGGGGAAGGGAGGGGGAAGGGGAGGAGGGAGGGGGAAGGGGAGGGGGAGGGATCTTTAGGATTCTCAAGAGCCACCATCACAGCAGCATGGCCTATCGGGTCATTTAGATAATGGCCCTCTCACTCCCTCTCACTCCCTGTCACTCCCTCTCACTCCCTCTCACTCCCTCTCACTCCCTCTTCCTCCCTCTTACTCCCTCTTATCCCCTCCCAGCAGGTCATTCAGGGCAATGACGACGATGGGGAGGCAGCAGCAGGGAGCAGGGTGATAGGGAGTGAGGCGAAGGGGAAATCCTGCAGGAGAGTCACAAGCTTCTGTTTGACTTGACTCTGTTTGACTTGACTCTGTTTGTTCCTCCTTGTTGCTTCCACCAGGTCATTCAAGAGAACGACGACGATGGGGAAGCAGCAGTATGGAAGCAGCTGTATGGAGCTGCTTACTCCTCTTTACTCCTTCGTTCCCCTCTTGCTCACCCTTTCCCCTTCCCAGCAGGTCATTCATGTCAATGGCCATGATGGGGAGGCAGCAGCAGGGGACAGTTTGGTAGTTTGTGGGGCGAATGGGGCTGATTACTCCTACTTACTCCCTTTTACTCCCTCTTACTCCGTCTTACTCCCTCTTACTCCTTCTGACTCCCTCTGACCACTCCCAGCAGGTCATTCAGGACAACGATGATGATGGGGAGGCAGCAGCAGGGGGCAGGCTGAGAGTGGGTGGGGCGAATGGGCTTCTCACTCCTTCGTACTCCTTCTTACTCATTCTTACTCCTTACTCCCTCCGTGCCTCCCTCCCAGGAGGTCATCAGGAGAACGATGATGATGGCGAGGCAGCAGCAGGGGGCAGGTTGCTAGTGGGTGGGGCGAATGGGGCTGCTTACTCCTACTTACTCCCTCTTACTCCCTCTTACTCCTTAATCCTTCGTACTCCTTACTCCCTCTGACCCCTCTCAGCATGTCTTTCAAGACAATGACGACGACGGGGAGGCAGCAGCAGGCGGCAGGTTGATGCATCTGCTGCAGATTGTGGGGGCGGCCAATGTGGTGAGTGAGAGGTGGACTGTGGTGGGGAGTGGTGAGGGGGTGGTGAGGAGTAGTAAGGTGTGGTAAGGTGTGCTGAGGGGTGGTGAGGAGTGGTGGAAATTTCCAGTTTTCCAGTTGAATGAAAGCCACCTGGTGGGGGAGACAGCAGCAGGGGGCAGTTTGATGCATCTGCTGCAGATTTTGGGGGTGGCTAATGTGGTGAGTGGAAGTGTGGTGGGGAGTGGTGGTGAGCGGTGGTGAGGCATGGCGAGGGGTAGTAAAGAGTGGCGGAGATTTCCTGCTTTTGAGCCAACGTAACAGTCCATTTTGGGGGAGGCAGCAGCAGGGGGCAGTTTGATGCATCTGCTGCAGATTTTGGGGGTGGCTAATGTAGTGAGTGAGGGGTGGTGAGGGGTGGTGAGGGATGGTGAGGGATGGTGGAGGATGGTGGAGTTTTTGCTGCAGATTGTGGTGGCGGCTAATGTGGTGAGTGGAAGGGTGAGAGAAGGATGGTAATTTGAGGGCTGTGACACACACACACACACACACACACACACATGTGACACACACACACACACACACAAACATCACGCACACACACACTCACGTGCGCGCGCGCGCGTACAGATGCAAAAAAACAAACAGCTTAACCATTTGATGGTCTAAGAGAACATCATTTTTCTCCTTCCGTTCTGCCAGGTGGTTGTGGTTTCAAGGTGGTTCGGAGGAATTCTACTGGGTCCAGATCGGTTCAGGCACATCAACAACGCTGCGAGATCGTTATTGGTAGAGTGCGGATATGTGGAGCAGCAACAGCAGCAGCAAAAGCAGCAGTTGAAAGGGAAGACTGCCACAGCTAGGCAGTGATCCCAAGGTCACCAAGGAGAATCCTTTTTTTAGAAATTTCTTTGGTGAGTTATCTTCTGAGAATCCTCTTTTTTAAAATAAACTTCTGTCTGAGAATCCCCTTTTGAGAGTTCTCGGGAGTGGTTCAGATGGATCAGCAATGCTTGTGCGGTCGCTTTTTGTGCGGTGTGATTGGGTGTAGCAGCAGTGGAATCAGAAGCAACAACAGGAAGAGGAGAAGCAGCGAAAGCAACAGAGGCAGACGAAACAGAAACAGAGGCGTCAACGGAAGCAGCAGAAGCAGCAGATTGGAATCAGCGGCAGCAATGGGAACAGCAAAGGCAGAAGCAGCAGAAGCAGCAAAGGCAACAGAAGCAGCAGAGAAGAAAGTCAAGTGAAGCCAAGAGGTGATTTCAAGCTGGTTCGGACGTATCAAGAACGGTGGTGTGCAGGGCAGCGCGGTTGCTGCTTGTGGGTTGTGGATGTTTGGAGCAGGGGCCGAATGAGAAGCAGCAAAGCATGACAAGCGAAGCAAAGAGATTACTAAAAGGTTCAGAACGGTAGAGTATGGTGCAGCGTAGTTACTGCTTGTGGGGCTTGGGTGTATGGAGCAGCAGCAGAGGCAGAAGAAACAACAGAAGGAGCAGCAGGAGCAACAGCAGCAGAAGCAGCAGCTGCACCAGCAGCACCAGCACCAGCAGCACCGGCAGCAGCAAGAAATGCAGCATGATTGGTGCAGGTTGGAAAAACAAAGAAGCAGCAGGGGAAGCAACAGGAGCAATAGATGGAGCAAAGACGACAGCAGAAAAAGCAGTACAGTAGCAGCATTAAGGAGAATCCTGGCAAAGCTACGAAGTTATTGCGTGTGAAGCCTGCGGACAAGAGCAGCATTAGGGAATGAAACAGCACTATGAGCTGATGCTAATGTATAACTATCTTAGCTGTGCTCCTTCCAGGCAGAGTGCTCTTGAACCAAGGCACTATTTTATTAGACCGAGTGTTGTTTGTTATGCAACCAACCTCTCTATTTTGATTTTGTTTAGGATTTTACACGGTACGGTAATATCAAGTGTGCACGCTTGCCTGGCTTGATTTCTGCGTTTGTTTGAAGGAAATCTTGGTCAAAAGAAGACAAGGAAAGAGGGAAACCTGAGAAGGGGTGCTGATAATTGTTGGGCTGAGAAAAGCCCTTAGGATCGTTTTCAAGACTGAAGTCTCAGAATAGTGATGTATTAGCAGAAGCGTAATAGTGAACTAATTGAACAACCTTGCACTGGTATGTGAGAACAAGATAAGTTAATAATAGCAAAGAGATACAAAGCTTTATATGATTACAAATGAATGTGAAAGGTTTCACTAACTGTAACTGCTGTTGCGGTTCGATACAGTGACGACTCTGGTAACTGCTCAGTAGTGAGTCAGTTATGTGTCCTTGCTGTCGTGCTGCTTTTCGGCGAGTCAAGGTCACTGACCTTTGACCTTCACTCAACCTCGTGTTGTTGTCTTTCTGTCAACCGCTTTGGTTGACTCGCTGTTGTTTTTCCCTTCAGTTCGCTTCGCTTTTGTTGTAGCGCTCGACACATCAGAAGCGCGAACTAAATGTTTCCAACACTCCCCTTTGCTTCTGGAGTGTCGTTGCCTTCGTTGCTGATGACGTGGCTTTGTCCAGTCAGCAGCATGCAGTACTCGAACTTTTGCTTTCCGAAATTCTTGGTCAAGTAATCTGCTGCCATCTCGGACGTGGGGCAGTAGGATAGCTCGAGTTTCCCTTTCTCGATCTCCTCCTTCACAAAGAAATAGCACAAGGCAATGTGCTTTGTTCGGTTCGCTAACCCGCTCTTGTTCGCTATGCGAATTGCAGATTGGTTGTCGCAGAAGAGGGAGAAGCTGGGTAACTCGGCCAACTTTGCTTCTTCCAGTAGTTCGCGAAGGTACAATCCTTCCTTGGTGGCTGAGCAGAGTGCTGGTATGTATTCAGCTTCACCAGAGGAGAGAGAAATTAGTTCTTGCTTGCTCGACTGCAACGAGATAGGACCGATGGGCTTGAGTCGATAGATGTAGCCGGTGCGCGATCACCTGTTATCAAAATCGCCTGCGTGGTCAGCATCTACGTGGCCGATTATCTTTGGAGTAGTGGTTCCGGTCTTGTGGTAGGTTAGGCTGATCGTTGGCGTGCTGACGAGGTAGTGAAAGGCGCGGTCGAGTTCGGCCATGTGCTCTGCTTCGGGCCGCTTGAGGTGGGTAGCAAGCTGACTCGCTGAGTATGACAGATCCGGTCGGCAGGTGACGGCTGCGAAAAGCAGACTGGCCAGTTTTCGTTGGTAGTCGCGTGTAGGCCGGCAGGTCCAAGCAGGTTGGATTTTTCCTGGTGATTTCCTGCAATGTAGCGGTAGGGCATGGAAATGGAGGCTGGCGTCAGTCCGAAGCGTTTTGCGATGGTGTCGGCGTATTTTGCGGCGCTGAGGTAGATCGCATTCTCTCCGTCTATAATGTTGAGTCCAAGGTACTGGGTAGCGGTAGAGGAAACCGTGAGTGAGAGATCCTGTTGCGGCTCCCCTTCAAACCAGTTGGTGATGCCGTCGGTGGAGCCTATGTAGAGTAGGTCGACTACATACACGGTGAGCAAAATGTACTCAGCTTCCTTTGTGAGCCTGTACATGCCCTGGTCGTGTGGTAGTTGCTGAAAGCCGATGCGGATTAGTCGGACGTGTAGGTACTGCTGCCACAGCCGCGGAGCTTGCTTAATGCCATACAAGGATTTCACCAGCTGACAGGCTTGATTAGGGTCTGTGTCGGATCCGTGTGGTTGCTCGACGAAGATTTCCACGTCGACGGGAGCGTAGAGAAATACGTTAGCCACGACGATTTGGCGAAGCTTCTTCCGCTTCATGGCGGCTATCGCGAGGAGGATTCGCAAAGAGGTATGTCGGCTGACCGGCGCAAAGGTTTCGGTGAAGTCTCGTCCGTGTTCTTGGTCGAAGCCACGCACGACCCATCGTGCCTTGAATTCATCAATTGTTCCGTCAGCTTTCGTCTTCACGCGGAAGACCCGTTTTCCCGTGAGAATGGTTTTGTTGTGTGCCTGTCCGATGGGTACTATCTTCCAGGTGTTTCTGTCTTCCAGCGCCTTTAATCCCTTGCCCATGGCTTCACGCCATTTTTTCCCTGTGTTCCCCCCCCAGAGCCTGCTGAACCGTAGCAGGCTCTCGCGGCATTGGTGCTCCATGGACTGCGATGACGAGTCCAAGAATCTGCAGCCCACTCTGTGTGTAGCGAGGGAGATTTGGGTCCTCGGGATAAACTGCTTCATCTCCCGCTTCTGGATCGGGTAAGAAGTTGGGGCCTATGCGTTCTGAAACGTTTGTGTTGACTGGCTGTGGTGTAACGTAACCGTTGTCGGCAAAGTCGTAGTGGACTTCGGCGTTGATGCTTTCGCGAGGATTTTCGTCGTCCATCGGAACAGGTGCCGAGCAGTAGGGAAGAGGTCCAGCTTCCTCGGATGCTCCGTCCACGTTTTGCTCATCCCAGTCAGCCTCATCTACTAGTGTGGTGAAGGCTCGGTTGCCACGGAAGCCGCCCGTGAGGTCTCGTTCTGCTGCCAAGTTGTCCAGGTACGTTTGGAGAGTAAGTCTTTCATAGAAAATCACGTCACGTGCTGGTACTGTCTCCTTCGAGTGGACGTCGAAGATTTTCCACGCGTTGTAGTGTTTTTCGATGCCCAGGTGTAGTCCCCACTGTGCGCGTTGTGAGAATCGACCAGCTCATGTAGTGTGTGGTCGGTACTGTACCATGCACCCAAAAACTCGTAACATTTTGGTGTTGCCCAATTTTCCTGTCCACAACAGATACGGTGATGCGTTGTTCGGAAGCGAGGATGACGAAAACAAGTTGTGCAACAGCACAGCGTGGTCCATCGCCTCAGGCCACTGATGGTTGGGTAGCCGCATGCCACGTAGCAGCTTGCGCATGGTGTTCTGGAGGGTCCTGTTCATTCTTTCCGCCACGCCTTGCTGCTGATGAGCGTAGGGAAGAGAAATGAGTCGCTTGATGCCTCTCTCCGCCAAGTATTGCTTGAACCGCAGTGACTGATATTCTCTTCCTCCGTCTGACTGAAAGCTTTTTAGCTTCACTCCTGATTCTCTTTCCGCTAATGGGAGCCAAGCAACGAATGCTTCGAAGGCCATGTCGCGAATCGGAAGGTTGAGATGCCAGACGTCTCTGGTGGCGGCGTCGATGAAAGTGATTACGTAGTTGTATGCTCCTTCTACGCTTTTGCAGGTGTACAGTATGTTGCTCTAGACCTTCTCCGGTGGTGTGTATGCTGGCGCGCTCGGGTTGTGGTGAGAGACGAACGGTTGATGGGGTAAGCCGGCTTCAGAGCAGGTAAAGCAGGTTCCGCGGACTCGTTGAAGTTC